ATATGGTGGAGGGCCTAGGCAAACTTGCCAAATTTCGGAAAATTTGATGGAGTCAAATGGTGTTGGTGGTATTTCTGTGGGAAGGGGGATGTCAAGAGCTTCAAAACGAGCTAAAGAACGTCAAAATTGGAGTTCGAATGAATTAGTTATGACCGAAACGGTGAAACTCGAAACGCTGAAACTGGGAGGGGCGGTAGTACCGCTCGGAAGGGCGGTAGTACCGCTCGTGTCGGGATTTTTTGACTGTTTCAGGATGAAACAGGGCCGGGCGGTAGTACTGCTTGTGGAGCGGTAGTACCGCTTGTGGTTCTCAGCGGTAGTACCGCTTGGGATGGGCGGTAGCACCGCTGGTGTCGGGATTGTTCGCAAAATCTGGATCGGGGCGATTTTGGGGCGGAAATGGATGATTTCGGGGGCAAAATTGGATGGATTTCGTGGATGGAAAGTGGGAAAACTTGGGGAGATGCTAGATCCACTCGAAACCAAGCAAATCCATGGATCAAAATCAACAAAACATCATCAAACAACAAATCACAAAAAAAATTGGGGCTATTTTTGGTGGGGATTTTTCAAAATTTAGGACGAAATCAAGCAAAAGAAGGCTGGAAAATGGTGGGAGGGACTCCAAATACACGATAAACCTAGCTCATGATACCATATGATACGGGGCTAACCCGGTGTAGGCCGATCTTTCACGATTGGAGTGGAATCCCTCGAAGAACACGATGAACACGGGGAAGAACGGAGATAAATCACAAGGGGAAACACTCAAGAACAAGTCCAATCACACATCCTAGACAATCAAACACACAAGATCCACAAGGTACATGAACAGCAAAGAGAAAGATACAAGGTAGAGTTCATCCCAAATCCAAAGGAGATGTGGGCTTGAATCCTAGAAGGATCTTCCCACGAAGGGGGGCTTGAATCCCTCGGGATCTTCTCACATGGAGGTCTTGAACTCCATAAGAGTGGTAGTCTCTCTCTCTCTCTCTCTCTCAAGAGTAGAGGTAGGAGCAAAGCTCACTAAGAATGAGCTATCATATTTGCTAACCCTAACTAGAGGAAGGGGATGGAGTATATATAGTCTTAGCCACGAAGGAGTAAGTGGGGAAGGGATACATGGGTCCCGGGCCCTGTCCATGCGCGCAGGCAGGCGTCGGATGTCCGGCTGGGTGCCGGATGTACGGCCGTTCGCGGAGTGCCAGATGTCCGGGCTGGCGGGCCGGATGCCCGGGCTGGTGAGGTTGGTCTCGGTGCTCTCTGGATAGGGGCGCCGGATTTCCGGAGGAGAGCGCCGGATGTCCGGGGGTTGCCGAGGCGCCGGATGTCCGGGCACACGGGCCGGATGTCCGGCCGCTGATGCTTCGGTCGTCTTGTTGGGGCAGCTCCTTGGAGGCTGCACATGCACCGGATGTCCGGCCCTTGGCCCGGATGTCCGACCGCTGTAGCTTCAGCAACATTGTCTTCTTTCGTCGTCGCTTCCAGGCTTCCCTCGTGGATGGTGTAGTTGTTCCTTGGCGCTTGCACTCCTCCCCGACATTCGTGAAGCTCCGACCACCTATGCATGCACATGGGAGATGTGTCAAGTAGTATACCATCCTCGAAGGGGTCAAGTGAGCACGTGTAAAGGAGAAGATTCACCTTTATGTATGAGAAATAGAGGTCGCACGTGTCACTTGCCAAACAGACTCTTGATATGGTGATGACCGTAGGATGCTCCGCATCACACTGTATATTCCTTTTCTTTTTCTTGTTCTTCCCAGCCTCATATCCCTTCCGCCACTACTCACCCTTGACTAGCAAACCTTCCCCATGAGAGACGTTCACCGCATTCTTCTTTCTCATATCATAAGATAGCAATGCTGCAGTAATATCCTCATTCTTGACGGTCTCCTTGCCGTGCGTCAAAGTAGTGATCAAATGGTCATAGGATGATGGCAATGAACAAAGAAGCAGAATTGCCCTATCCTCGTCGTCAACCGTCGCACCCAAGCGTGCTAGATCCGTCACGACTTGTTTAAAGGCGTTCATATACTCCACAAGATCTGACCCCTCGTGCATCCTCATCCCATACAACTTTTGCTTCAGATACACCTTGGTCGTCGCAGTCTTGGACATAAACAGACTTTCCAGCTTCTCCCAGATCTTCTTCGGCGAATTCTCATCCATCACATGATAAATAACCTGGTCTGACAGACACAACCGTATAGTCCCGGCTGCTTTCAACTGTAACTCCTCCCAGTCATCCGCTTCCATCTTAGCTGGCTTGGCTTCCCGCAACAACGCCTTCAAGCATCCCTGTTGTGCCAACAAATTTTTCACCCTTGTCTGCCATAACCCAAAGCTTCCAATTCCGTTAAACTTCTCCACCTCAAACCTGGTACCCGATGGCGCCATGGTTCTTTGTACGGCTGACCTTGTGAAAAATAAACGAGCAGTCTTACCGTGATCCCCAAGTACAAGAACAGAACCTCTGTCTACTACTAGCAATCTAGCTAGTTGGTCTTCACGTGAAGTGCTCGCTGGCTCAACTTCCGTATGCTAAGCTATTTGCTTTGCCTCCGCCCTTGCTAATTCTGATGGATGCCACAACCAGCGATGACTTTTCTTTCCGCTGAATCTCGATCTGTTGCCTCCAGGGACTCGGTCCAGACTTTTTTTCCAAAACAAATCCGGTTCTGATTGCTGCACCGAGATAACCGCTGAAACCTGCACAAGCAGTGTCTAATACGCATCTGCCTCGTCCAACAACAGCACGTACGCGTGTCCGCGTTGGGCACCGCTGGCCCGCCTCCAGCCACATGCTGAACCGTACCTTAACCCAACCGCGTAGCCTCACACGGTTGTGCTGCAGGCGTCAAGTTTTGATCTCGCCGACTCCGTCGTCGACGCGGATCCTTGCGCGGCATCTTCGTCTCCTCTGGATCAACTAAACAACTGCCTCGTAGCCTAATTCATGATACCACTTATTAGAATAAGCCCGAGGTACGCAGTCGATCCATCAAGAAATAAGCAATCATAAACAATGACGACACCGAGATTTGTTAACGAGGTTCGGCGAACTCGCCTACTTCCCGGGACAATGACTACGGGCGCTTCTTCTCAAGATACCGCAACACCGGCCACCCGGGCGCCTGCACGCCGCCAGCACCCCCTTGCGAGCCTGTCGCTATCTAGTCGTCATGGGTTACAACGTGGGGTGCCTCCTCATATATAAGAGGCCAAGGGTACAACGTGTCCGACTCCGACACTACACGTATCCTACCCACACTACAACACCAAGTCCAAGCGTAACCCAACTAGTACAAAATATTCGACACAAATACAACACTTAACGCCGTGCCCATCAAATAGCCCCTAAGATCAGCAGGACATTGACAAGTTGATCTTTGCCCAACTTGTTGCAAAGGTCAAAAAGCCATAGCTTGGCATCCACCATCTCATTGCCATATAGAGGCATTGAAGCATCATCATCTCAGAGTGTCCTCTTAGCCGTGTTGCAATCAAGGAGGGAGAGTCGCCAAGAATAGTTTTCTGCATTGCAAATGGTACACACAACCGAAGGAGCCATGTTTCGGTGTGCTCTTTCCTGACTCATAGGAAAGGATGGTCTCGCCAGCCTCCACACAAAGGTACGAAGTTTGGGTGTTTACTTTCACTCTCTATAACTTCTTGATCTTGTCGTAGTGGCATGCCCAGGAATCACTTGGAGCGACATGACTGATTGAATCTGCCATACCACCTCCACATCCAAAGGTAGCATGTGCATCTCCAAGGCATGAACATCCCATGTCCTTGATGTGGAGCAAATTAAATCAGAGGCTAATGCATGTGGGTTCTTAGATTTGGCGAAGATTAGTGTCAAACTAAAATCTCTTCGATGCCAGTTCTTGTTCCAAATACGAGTCGATATACCATCCCCTATTCTTTTGATCAGCCTAACCCGAAACATAGGCGGCGGTTGGGCTGACGGTTCGTTTGCTCCTGATTAAATTCCAAGGGTCGAAGCAGCATCCAAGAGTCGAAGGAGAACCTTTTTACCTGGCATTAAATTGTTGAAGTGCTTTTAGTGGAAATCGCTAGCGTGACACCTGGTCATCTGCTACTAACAAATTGGCTACATTCCTTTTTTTATGGGCTTTTGCTAGCGGGCTCAAGGAGAGTGGGCACCTACTCTGGGCCGACTGGAATATCTCTTCCGATTATCTATAGCATTTAGTGTTATGAGATCCTAAATTATGAGCTCTAGAAACGGTACATGCTTAAATTGATTTTCTATCCAATTCACTTTGCAACTAGTAGAAAACAGACATTTGTGGTACTACAAAAAAGTGACCAGAGAACAATTTGCGCATAGAAAATAATAACCATATAATAAAAGAAAAATGTTTTGGTTGAAACAATATATTCTAGTGACATAATTAACCATAACAATGTGGCCAATAAAGAAAGTAAAATGCCTTTCAAAATAACAAACATGAACAAAAGAAAAGAAAGTAGAAGTACGTAAATTCTACTTTTTATATCTCACATTGTCATCTTGTGGTAGCTTTTATAGTATACTTTTTCCCCATATTTTACCCCTTAGTTATGATATCAAGCCAATTTTTTGCTCCTTTTATAGTTCCCAAACTAACAAACTAGATCTACTTGCTCGGAGGATGTGACAACCAATGGATGTTGAGATCATTGATGTCAATCAATGGATCGGACAACTTTCAGAAAACACATAGCTAGCTAGATAGATACACATTCGTAGTTTTGAATTTTCACCAGGCCCAGCCGTTTCCAGCATCACATGATCGACCAACATGGAGATTGCTAAAGCCAATGTACGGACTATGTACTCCAGTTTCACAGTACAGGAAAGAACGCAGGACAATAGATCAACTTTGACGTTTGCTTAACTAAATCCATAAACCATCTGTCATGCACACATATGTTTGATCCTCCATGCGTAGCAGAAGCCACACGAGGACACTGTTACAGCAGACGAACTAAACTTTGGAAGCAAGCTTGGCGATGAGCTCATTCAGAACGGAGTGATCGGTTGCAGCTATGTGCTCCCAGTCGCTGGTCGCCATGACTCCTCGCAAGTCTTCAGGGGATTGGACTTTGAGAAACTCTAGGCAGGCCTCCTTGAGTCCATGGCAATGGTGCTGCGCTGCCAGACCAAGGGTGGCCGTCACCGAGCTCAAATCTATGTGCTTCGACAGCCTCTCTTCACACATGGACTTGAGCCGCTGGAGATCAAACCTATCGGCCGCGGCAAGCAAGTGTCGCAGCCACGTAACCACATCGGCTCCTTCCGCCTCCATCTCGGGCATCAAGTCGGTGTAGACAAAACTGAGCAAGGCCTTGAACACGTTCTGTTCCATGTCTTGTATCTGTACGGCACTAGCCATGGTCCCCTCCTTCATGGGGCCAAAGAGTTGAGCCATAAAGACAGGGGAACGGGACGCGAGCACACAACGGTGCGCAACAAACGTCTCAGGGCCGACCTCGAACATCACATCGGCACCCACCTTGGTCATTAAGAGATGGCTCAGATGCTCGCTTATGTTAGATGACGGCACCTCGATCAAGGGAGCATCAGCAGCTTCAGCGGTGATGGAATCACACCGGATGGTGAAACAATCATCCTTGAGATGCCCTGACTTCTCAAGGTCCTCCCATTTTATGAAACGACGACGACCCCAAATGCGAGTAGGGCCAGTGCCGGAGAAGGCACATGGTTTGATTGCGCGGATGCGTGCGTGCTCTTGCTTGTCAGCCTCATCAATCAAACTAAACTGGAGGTGCAGCATCACATGCCGTGCAACATCCGCCTGGTCAAGGAAAAGATAAACGGACACGAAACCGGCATCATCTGGGACACAGCCATTGGGGTAGAGTTTCATAGCCCATCGATGGCCTCCAGCTTGGAAAGAGCAGCCCTTGATGAGCACTCCGGTGGGCGTGTCTTTGAAGCGGGAGTAACCTTCCACCACAAGGAGGTGATACCAACTGTCTCTGCTGGCTGCGCTGGAGCCGGAGTAGATCATGGCCGACCCCTGCGGCATGCTGCCGGCAGAAACTACGGATACGCCGGCGAACGACATGATTCCTGCGATCTTGCCGATGTGGAGCAGCAGGGGTAGATTGGTGAGCCGGCAGGGAGAGGCGGGGGCAGACTGGCGGAGGGAGAGGCGGTTGGGGAAACGGCCGCACGGGGGAGGGATTTCGGTAGGCCAGTCAGCGCTGCGGAGAGCGGCGCAGGGTAGCGGTCGACGGCGTGGCGGTGGCAAGATGGGGAACGATGCAAGCGATTTGGCCTTGGGGAACGGCGGCGGTGCGGCCGTGCGGGCGTGGTCGTCCGGTAGGGTAGAGCAGCTAGGTCAGAAACAACAAACGGGGGTAACGGCCCATGAAAATTCTGCGCCGTGGGCTGATAAATTTCCGCTGGGCCAATTTTTAGCGTTTGTACGCGGAATATGGCCGCCGCCCATATTTTCTCGAAATAACCAGGTTTCCTAAAAAAACTAATCAGTACTAATCTAGGAGATTCTCGAAAAAAAATACTAATTAAGGAGCATTTTTCGTAACATGGGAGTTTTTCTTTTTTCGTAAATCTGTTTACTCAAAACGTTTTATCTTTTAAACCGTGCGTCCAAATCTCAAACCGTTTTCATCATTGAATTCCTCGCATTGAGGTTTTCAAAACTAGATCCCATGTTGATAGGCTTTGACGAATTTCTTTTACGAAAACAATGGTTGTTCACCATGTTTGAATCTTTATCACATGGCTGCTTGTCTGCTTGATGAAATTAGCGGTTACGCAAAGCAACTTGGGAAGCAAGAAGGAAGGCAATCCATGAAGCTATTTTTCATAGCCTTCTCCAAACTCACTTTTTTGTTGAGAGGCACATTTTCCAAGCATGAAGGGCTGAAGCACTCGAGAGCGGTGGTTCCAATACCTCTCAAACCTGTTCGGCAAAAGAGGTCACGACAAATGTTGACGACGGACTATCTGCAATGGGGAATCAGGTGCTTCTGCGGCGGTACGTAGGGATTCTACAGGCATGTTCCTAGGGTCCTCACTATGGTCTTGCCCTACATTAACAACTCGGCAAGCCTTGAGGCCCTTGCATGCATGCCGAGAAGCTCAAACCCTGCACTAGTAAAAAAGGGCCTAATGTTCAGCCCTTTAGTCCCGGTTTGTAAATTAACCGGCACTAATGTGACCATTAGTGCCGGTTCGAACGACTATTCATTAGTCTCGGTTCGTGTTGAACCTTTAGTACTGGTTCGTGGCACGAACCGGTATTAAAGGGGTGGTGGCAGGCTAGCGTCAGGCCAGGGCCCCACGAGCCCCTTTAGTCCTGATTTGTGACATAAATCGGGACTAATGGTCTCCTATAGTGCCAGTTTGTGTCACAAACTGATACAAAAGATCTAACCTTTAGTACCGGTTGGGGAAACAAACCGGGACTAAAGGGCAATTTTTAAACTCTACCCCCCCCCCCCTATCGCCATTTCAGTTTTGTAAAAAACAAAAGAAAATGATAAAAACTTCAAAAATTAAAATCCTTCGAGATGTAGTTATGTTACTACATCTACTAGTTAGGAAAATTAAGAAACTTAAATTTGGACAAGTTTTGCAAAAAAGTGTTATGAAAAAGTAAAACGGCCATATCTTTTGCATACGATGTCAAAAAAAATATATAATATATCAAAAAATCAGCACGAAAATCCGCATCCGATTTTGACAACCATAGGCCTGTTTGCAAATTTTTAGAATCCTCAAATTCTAAAAGGAAAAAAAGGTATGCTCAAATTTTAGTTTTTTTTAATTTTCGTTAAATCTGGACAAATTTCCGTCAAACTATGGTCAAACTACTTATTCAAAAAATATTAGTGTTAATAAATAATTATATTAGTTTTTTTGACTTTTGGTCAAACTGTGGTCAAACTATGGTCAAATCTGGTCAAGCTGTGGTCAAACTATGGTCAAACTACTTATTCAAGAAATATTATTTTTACTAAATAATAATAATTTTTTAGAATAATACTTTCAAACTCAAACAGTGAAAATGTGACTTCATACTCAAGATAAACTCCTAAGGGTTAATAGAATTGACAGCTTATTATTGTCAGGTAAACAACAGGTGCAGACTTGGAAACTAGGGGGAATAGAAGTTGGAAGTTAAGCGTGCTCATGCTCGATTAGTGAGAGGATGGGTGACCGGCCGGAAAGTTAGACGATTTGGAATGAGTGGTTCATAATTGAGCAGTGATGAGGGGTGATTAGAGACTAAATCACCCATCATCATTCCAAACCATCTAACTTCCCGGCCTCTCATATTCAAGGCATGAACATCGCATGTCTTTGACGCAGATCAAATAAAAGTATAAAATTAGAGACTAATCCAGGTGGGTTCTCATATTCTACGCAGATTACTCTCAAACTAAAATATCTGAACGGTTCACCGGTTAACACTTAAACACAGACAGATTTGAAAGTGATCAAACTTAATCGATGGCGGTTCACCTGGTCCAACAAGAGGCAGAACTTGGTACTCCCTCCGTGAAGAAATATAAGAGTGTTTAGATCATTAATGATCTAAACGCTCTTATATTTTTGTGTGGTATTTTAAAATATACTCCCTCCGCCCGGGAATATTTGTCATCAAAATAGATAAAGATGTATCTAGATGTATTTAGACGTATTTTAGTTTGAGATATATCACCTTTTATTCATTTTGATGATAATTATTTTTGGACGGAGGGAGTAACTAATACGCTTTATTTGGACGGCCCTCAAAATTCTTCATAAAACCACTTCGACCTTGTTTGACCTTCAAATGAAAAAGTAAAAACGGTTTTAGCACAAAACCATATACTCTCTCCGTTCCTAAATATTTGTCTTTTTAGAGATTTTAAATAAACTACCACATACGAATGTATATACACATATTTTAGAGTGTAGATTCATTCATTTTTCGCCGTATGTAGTCACCTGTTAAAATCTTTATAAAGACACATACTTAGAAACGGAGGGAGTATATCATGGCATCAGGCCATGGATAGCACAGTCGCTCAAAGGTTTGTGAAACAGATTTAAGTTTTTACACTATGATTTTTTTCTAATCTGGTCAACATAAACAGACTAACAAGATGCTCGGCCACCAGAGGAATTTCCATACCGATTCATGTTCCTGTTCAACGATCTTTTCGTCCCTCATCAAGCAACATGTTGCTTGACAACACTTCCTGAAAGTTGAACAATATTAATTCTCTAGAAATTTCTTGCGTTGTTTAGCTGCTTGAACAAATTGAAGAATCGGGGGTACCAGGCAGCAAGCCTAGTAAGCTATCTCTAAAAATAGATAGAATTGGAGGTACATTTACAACACTTACCGGCCAATCAGCTAATTATCACGTAAGTTACTTAATGGCATCCGAACATATTCCAGTTCCAGGTTGTATGTGGGGTCACATCACATCACTTTTGTTCTACACGGTGACATACAAAAACAATGACTGATTGGCTTGTGTGTATAATTAGAAGAATAGAAGCTTTTCAAGAGATCATCTCTTCAGATTAATTAAGAATAAAGATAAAGCATTAAATTGTTCCTTTAACAATCACAATGTGATTCTACATTTTCGAAATATTTGTACGCACATTTTTTTTATCTTTTAACACTCTTTACTTCTCCTGGTAAGTTGTAATGATGTAAACTGCATCAGGTGGTAATCCTGCCTAAAATGTTAGATTAATGTTGCAAAGAGAGCCTTGTGGCACACTAACCTATAAGTAATGATTAGATAATTTAAGGTTAGGATCCCATAATTCCTAAAAAAATCAAAATAATTCAACAATCTACAAACGATTATGATATACTCGTAGAATAACTTAGAGATGTTCCCATAAAAAACAAGAATCCACCTTATGCCATTGGATTTTGGATAATATAACACTAGTAAAAAATGGGCCATTTGTCCCGGTTCCAGAGGCTCATTAGCCCCTGTTCTGGAACCGGGACTAAAAGGCCGGGACTAAAGCCCAAAACCTTTAGTCCCGGTTCGTTTACAAACCGGGACAGAAAGGGCTCCACGTGGCCGCTGCGGGGCACCCAAGTAGGAGGATCTTCAGTCCCGGATGGTAATACCAACCGGGACCAAAAGGCATCCATGCGTCAGCATATGGCAGGAGCAGGGTTTTGTTTAAAGGGGGGTGGTTAGTGGGTTTTGGAGGGTTAATTTAGCGGTTTCATATATTGTGTTAGTTAGCTAATAGAGAGAAGTGACCTCTCTTTATCTCCGTGCTTAGTTGACGCTAGCTACTATACGTATAAAGAGAACTCGACACGCTAGCTAGTAAGCAAATGAAGGAACCATTAAGTACACAAGATCTTCATGAACATACAGAGAGAAGTAACCTCTCTTTCTCCGAGAGATTGGACGAACAACAAGTTTTCGTATATCTACCCGACGCTACTAGCTACATATATACAATATAAGATCTCTTACAAAACCTAACATCTAAGGTCTATTTGAACTTCCACATGGTATTCTCCGGCTTTATTTATGACATGGTCAAGAAAGAATCCCGCCAATTCCTCTTGAATAGCTCGCATGCGATCATGTGGTAGGAGTTCATCCCGCATATGCCACATCTAATTTAATGAAGTGGGTCAATACATATATATGAATGAAACTTAACACAAATGATGGTAATTAATAAAATAAAATTGTGAATTCTTTTGCTTACGTACATCATATTGTTTTTCAACGTAGTCCCGCTTAGAGGTTGTCGAGTTGTAGATGAACTCGCAAACGTAGTATCCAAAAAAACATTCTCGGCTTCCTGCCACAAGCACTTTACAAGAAATAGAGTTCAATGAAACTGATAATCAAGCATGCTAAATGGTATTGATGAATCTAGATAGAATCAATGGGAGATGTGCGGAACTAGCTAGTAGTACTTACTTTTGGGTGTTTAAACCGCAGCTCCGTCGGCAGTCCCGGCGTAATTACGGTGAACTCTTTCCATACCATGCCAGACAAAGAGAATAATTACTTGGTATCAGGAAATGAACAAAGTTGCTGATATGGT